ACCTTGGCCAGAATCACATACTTCCCAGTGGCCTCGGTTTGCCTAACCCACACCTTCAAGTCAGGGTGTGAGGAAGGGGTCCCTCTTCTGTTCACAGAGGGGCCTGGCCTTCGGAGCAGCAGACTGGTTCCAGGACAGGAGACCCCCAAGCCCAAACCTCACATATTTGTGCCTTTCTGAGGGGGTTGGGGCCAAGGAGGAAACTTAGCCCCTCTGTGTGTTCTGTTTTCTCTTGATGAGATCATTGTACCATGTCAATATTTTGTATATTCCTAGACAAATAAATGAGAACCCTCTATGAGTTATTCCTGGACTGTATTTTCATCCTGCCACTGACACTTGGGGCCCACCACAGCCCCACTGAGCTGTCACCATGCCCTCTGCCCCCCTGCTTCTTAGGTCCACATGGCCCTGCTGTGGTGTTTAAGTTATCTCTTGCTGTGTAACAGATTACTCAATGCTTAGTGGCTTCAGACAACATGTGTTATCTCACAGTTCTCAGACACAGGAGCCAAGGCTTTGCTGGGGCCTCTGCTTAGGGTCTCCTACGAGGCTGCAGTTGTCTCACAGTTCAGCCAAGGAAGGATCCACTTCCAAGGCCATTCATGTCGTTGTCAGCAGGATTCACTTCCTCGGTGGCTGTTGACCAGAGGCCACTCTCAGTTCCTTGCCACATGGGCCTAGCTGTAGGATAGCTCACAATAGGACAGCCAGCTTCCTCAGAGAGTATGCAAGAAGAGCCAGTGTGTGAAGAGCAGAGAGCGTGAGCAAGGCAGAAGTCACATCCTTCACAACCAAACCTCGGAAGTGATAGCCAATCACTTTTGCCATTTTCTGTTCATTAGATGCAGGTCACTGGGTCCAGCTCACACCTGAGAGAAGGGGATTATACAAGGAGTGAATACCAGGAGGCAGTGGTCACCAGGAGCCACTTCCCAAGCTGCCTACCACGTGGTAAAGGTTGCTGTCCAGTTGCAAGGTCCTAGAATGCTGAGCTGGAAGGGTCCTTATGGATCACTCCAGCTGTGTTCCCTGCCCCTGGCATATACCAAAATGGGGGAGACCTGGCCAGCTGTCACCCTAGTGACTACAAGGTCTCCCAAGATGCTACCTCTTCTTATTCTAATTCTATTCTGTTCAGGGAGTACCAAGTACCTGGCAACCCTTCCCAGCTGAGATCAAAGGACCTCATTCCAACTTCCCTACTGCCAAAACGCCTGTCTGCCTGTCTTTGCCATTCATCCACCTCAGGGAGCTCCTCTGTGCCGGAAGCTGCGAGTGGGCTGCTTGGGAGCTGTATTAGGGTTCGCCAGAGAGACAGAATCAATAGGACATGTTATAAACATATGAGAAGGATTTATTAGAAGAGTGAGTTCATGCAATTGTGAAGAAAAGTCCCACGATAGGCCATCTGCAAACTAGATGCCAGTAGCATGGCTCAGTCCAAGTCTGAATGCCTCAACCCAGAGAGGCTGATAGCATCCTTGATGTAAGTCCTGGAATCCAAAGCTGAAGAGTCTTGAGCTCTGATGTCCACAGACAGGAGAGGAGTGTATCCCAGCTCCAGTGGACCGAGAGAGAGCCATTTACCTTTTTTCTCTTTTGTTCTCTCCAGGCCCCCAGCAGATTGGATGGTTCCCACCCACATTGAAAGCAGTTCTTTCCCACCCAATCCACTCAGGCTCTCATGCTAATCTCTACTGGAAACACCCTCATGGACACACCTAAAAAGATTGCTTTACCAGGTTTCTCGGCATTCCTTCTTCTAACCAAGTTGACACCTAGAATTAACCTTCACAGGAGCAGAGACAAATGTTGAAAAAAGCTGAGAATATGTGGGGGGTGGGGGTTTAGACTTGTGACAGAGTCACCCCAACCCAACCTGGGCTGCCTTGCTGAGGAATTAATGCCTGAGCTGGGCCTTGAAGGGTGGCTGGAAGTCTGCCAGAAAGGGAAGGAGGTGAAGGACAGAGCGGCAGGTGCGAAGATGGGGGAGATGGCGTTACTGATTTGTAAGGGAGAGGCGCTTCTCAGAAGGGGGGGAGTTGGTTTTTCCAGAGAGTTTCTAGGTGAGTAGGAAGGCAGAGCAGTGAAAGGAAGAGCTCTGGAAGGGTTAACAGAAGCTGGATTCTGTAGTACCAGGAAGGCCTCAGACTAGAAAGCTCAGGTCAGAGGACAGGCACTTCCTTTGGGATGGAGGATGAGAGTCTCCGCCCCACTCCAGCCCCACTCCAAGGCTGACCTGATGGGTTGTAACCTCAGCCTCTGGCTTGCCGCTAAGCCCTGGCCCTAACTTAGGCCACCCCATGAAGTTAGGCCATTATTCTCACACATTAATTTTGTGAATAGTGAACACCTACTGTGCACTGGGGAACTCAGCCATCTCTACCTAAGGAGAGCAGATAGAACAAATAGGTTCCACATCCCAGAGGGATCTTGCCTTAGTCCGTTTTGTGTTGCTATGACAGAATACCACAGACTGGGTAATTTATAAAGAGAAGAAATTTATTTCTTACAGTTCTGGAGGCTGGGAAGTCCGAGGGTGAGAGGCCTGCACCTGATAAGGGCCTTCTTGCTGCGTCATCCCATGATGGAAGGGCAAGAGAACGTGCGCAATAGAGGGACAGGAACTCATCCTTTCATCAGGAACCCACTTCTGCAATAAGGCATTAATCCATTCTGCCCTCACGACTTAACCACCTCTTAAAGGTCCCACCTCTCAACAATGTTGCATTGGTGGGGGATACATTCAAACCATAGCAGATCCCCTTGCCAAGGGCAATGTGTGTCTAGAAGCAGCC